AATAGGTATAAGTATACACAAGTATACTTATACACCTGAGACTATTGTATAATAGGTATAAGTATACACAGGTATACTTATACACTCCTCACCCCTCCAACACGTTCCCCAACTTTTCATGCTCCATAAATCTCTTCTACGTCCTTAATTTCTCATTAATTTTCCTCCTATAATCCTTCTCTCTCCTCAGCTTCCTCGTGATATCCACAAGACAACATTCTCCAGCCTCATTCAGGCTCTTATCACCCGTCGTTCCTGTCCGCCACCCACTTCCATTTCCACAGCCTCCACCCCCACTCCAAGATTTAGTATAGTGATCGTTTGAGCCTCTGAGATGACTTAGTGCCTCACGACTAACAGCAGTACCCTCGCCCCAATGCCAGGGTACTTAGCCTACCTCGAATTAATTTGTAAAGTGTGCTCAAACACTATTGGGTTCATAAACAACGTCCACGCAGTGAGAGAAACTACAAAGTAGGACCATTCTGAGGTAGACATGTTCACAGGATGCTAAGCCTTAGTTGTAGCAAAAGCAATATTCTAAGAGGTCTCCACCATAATAGGATGAGACAGAGAGGGCATGAACAGCGAAAGGTTTCATAAATTGACACTCAAAATTCTGATTGATTGTCTCTAGAAAGCAATGTAATAACTAGAGAATCCAAATTAATACTGGCAAAAATAATAAAGTTTGCAACAAACAGGAGTCTGCGTTGACTCGAGTGTGACTGACACAACACAACAGCCTTTAACAATAGTCATTATCAAAAGAGCTGGCTCAGAGGCTTTTATTTACCGACCTCTCCAGCCATAACGAACGGATCAAGAGTAAAGATGAGCCCTCTTGCACGGTTCTATTCCTTATCCAGTTGTCGGATAGAGGATGAGGGGACAGTCAGGCCGTCCAAGAGAGTTGTGCATACTAAAGATGGAAAGCGAATTTGTATTTCTCATAAGGTTTTGCAACCGCGGCTGTCGAGAGGGCGAAATATCTGTCTAAGGAATCCTTGGCTGTCTTGCTTGCTCGGATCCGCTCGTGGGTCTTCAAAAAATATTGCAAATGCAATTTCAATTGCATACACTAGCAATATTTGATGTAAATGTGGGTTAATGAACCTCATAGCAGTTGCCATTTTCTCGTTTGGATATGAGAAGGTTAGAGTATAGTCATCAGCGTTAGGCTGGAGCTTAGGGATGGTGTGCAGAAGTAGGTTGTTGTAGTTGGTATTCCGCAAGGGACCAAGCACGCGGTTCTATGGTACGCTGGTACTAAACGAGTTGTTCTCTCTCTCTCTCTCTCTCTCTCTCTCTCTCTCTCTCTCTCTCTCTCTCTCTCTCTCTCTCTCTCTCTCTCTCTCTCTCTCTCTCTCTCTCTCTCTCTCTCTCTCTAA